GGCACATAACAATTGCCAGTTGGAGCCACACAAATGTAAGCCATGGGATGGAACGCAAGCCCATATTCGGCAATCGCACTTCCCACCTACAACTCACCTTAATTTTCATATGACAGAATTGGTGATTTTTTTGTAAAAAGGCCTGCGCTACAAGTGGTAACACGTGGTGCTGTTAGCTGGACATTTCATTCCGCTGAGACTAGGGCAGGATATAGATGGCGTTGAATGGTGCTGGCGCAACCGCCAAAATTAGGGCGGATGATTCCTTCCGTACATGCAAAATCCTTCCAAATCTCCCATATTCAAGGTGAATGTACTCAATGTTCATTTCACGAGGACATTCCACTCGCACCATGGCTGCGCCAGGAGAGATTTGTGAAGTAAGGAAACGCCTCCTCCACATTAGTGTGGATTCCCCAGTGCATGTGATGTTCATTTATGAAGGTGGAGGCAAGTCTACAAGTATATGTTTACATCGAGCAGGGTGGTAGGCAAGGAGGTGAATCAAAGATGGGCAGTGGTTTGCGTTTGGTAAAAGCAAAGAGGGATATTGCGAGCTATATTGACAACAAATGCCCACGGTGGTACTAGTAGCTTTCATCATAACAATACGATGCTGTCAAAACCGATGGCGCTGCATTTGAACACCTCCACTGATGATGTCTGCAACAACGATAGGAAGGAAAGTCAAGTGTGCTGGACTTCAATGCTTTGCTTCCACAAGGCAAATGAGAGCACAAGTCAAAGTCATGACCCTAGTGAGATTTGTGAGAGAGGTCAAGGAGTCCCAAACAGCACATAGATGGATACTCCTTGCCAAGCCGCATTAGGGAGGTAGTTAGGCTAAGAGACTTGGTCCAAGATCGAACAGCTGCGAAGTCTGCATTGCGCATTACACATTTACAAGGCAAAAAGTAAAATCTCTCTCAACTATGTCCTTTATTTCCAGTTTCGGGGAGAAGGCATCGTACAGCAAACGTGAATTCTCTGAATCAGGAAAGCCGACACCACTGGAATCCCATGACTTGAGCATGGAAAAGGCAACACTTTCGCCAACAGCATACGATCTGTTTCTTATACTTCCATCTG